GCCCCAAGGCTCAACATTCCCTAGGACCTCACCAACACCTGTCCCTCTGCTGTCCCAAACACCCCTCAGGAACCCCCAACACCAGCACTGTCCTGGGACCCCCAAAAACCCCCAACACTCATGCCAGCCCCAGGGCCACCAACATCCCTCAGGATCTCATTACCTCCCAACCACACCAGTACCTCCCAGTAGCCCCCAGCACCCACATCCCTCCCTGCTGGCCCCCCAATGTCCCCCTGAGACTCCCCGCACACATTTCAGCCCAGAATATGGAGACCCCCTTTTCCAGCACCCATCTCAGTCCATGATTATCCCAAACCCAGACCAGCCTGAGGCTCCCCTGGATCATCAGAGCTCCTCAGGACCCCTAAGAGCCTCCCAGCATCCATCTGAGCCCATAAATACATTGAGACCACCTCCAACAACTGCCTGACCCCCTCATTACACAGAGAAACCCCACAAGGACCTACCTGAGCCCATAAATACCTTGTGACCACCCCCAGCACCTGCCTGATCCCCCATCACTCACAGACCCCCCAAGAAACACCTGAGCCCCCACCAGCACCTTGAGACATCCCACAGAGCACCCACATGAACCCTCAGCATCTTCCTGAGTCCACAGAACACCCAACACCCTCCAGAACCCCCAAAATCTTTCATAGCCACATCCCACAGCATCCCTAACACCTCCCTTCATCCCCCAGCACCCCATTAGTCCCCAGTATCACCCCACAGCCCCCCGGACCCTCCAGCACCCTCTGGGAGACCCTCATAATGCCCCCTGAACCCACTTATCCCCAGCCCCATGGGGGACATGGGTGCCCATTCCCACAGGTCAAGTGACAAGCACTGAGTACACAGTTAACACCCCCTAAAAAAATGTGGGAAAGCCCTAAAAATTGTGGGAAAGGCTTCAAGGAGTAAAGGGCTGAAAATGGGGCAAAAAAATGTCCCTGGAGCCACCCCTGGTATGAAAAGCTTGGGAGAATGCAGGAGCCAGGGGTCTCAGCCTCACTCTACTCTCAGGCATGATCTTCAGTATTTAACTGCAATTAAACATATTTTCAGTCAGCTCTTGATTGTGGGTGTGATGGGTGTTTTTGTTATCTCTCAGATGCATTTTCATAGAATCCTGAAATGGTTTGGGTTGGAAGAACCTTAGATATTGTCTCATTCCACTCCCCCTATTCCACCAGACCCTTTAGAGCAACCTTGTTTAAATTTCAGCCTTGTTTAAGTTCTCGGCCTCAACAACTTCCTGCAGCTCTGACTTCTGCAGATGAATTAAACATTGCAAGAAAAAGGACTTCCTCTCCTCAGGTTTGCATTTCCTGCCCTGTCAATCCCAGCCCAGGGAAGTGGGATTGTCTCCTCATCTCAATTTTACTGCCTTTCCAGGGAAATGGCGTGAAATTCTGGGAAACACTCCTGGGCAAAACCCAAATCCCACGGCTGGGGAACTGAAAGCTGTGGTTGAAGATTTGTTCCAACTTGTCAGAAGCTCGTGTGGGTTCTCTGCTTCCAAGGTGGATTCATGATGGTAAATCCCTGCTGACTTTGGGCTGGGATCCGAGATCTTCCCAATCTTGGCTTGGCTGAGGCAGCTCCTCTAATTCTTGTGGAGCGCCTTGAGGAATTTCAAACAGCTTAAAAGGAAACCACCTGATTTAAAAAAAAAAACCATCCTGTGGTCCAAGCAAATATGCATTTCCCTCTTGCTATTAATATCCCAGGCCTTGATCCTCTTCCAAATACTGTGCAGGCATTTAATGGCTTGCAAAGGAGCGGTGCCTTTGATCCCAGAGTGGGAATGTTTGCTGGAATGTGAATTATTAAAGGTGAAAGATGCTTTCAAGTGCAACATGCTGCCCATTTTTTTTCCAGTGTGATTTATTGCCTGCCCCGTGTTTCTCCCAGCCTGGCAATGAAAAATTCATTTCCAAGTTTGGAGAGTAGTAACTCACGCTTTGGGCACAAACTCCATCCTTTCTTTTCTAGAGATGATTTCCAGGGGAATAAGATAGACATTTCTTTCTGCCTGCTGTTCTGGGAATTCTTTTTTTTTTCAGCTCCCACTTTGGGCCCTGTTGGAGCTCCCTGGTCCTTCCCTGCAGCAGCAATATTGCAGTGGAGAGGAATTGCTGCAGCTGCTGCCATCTAATGGGAAAATTCAGCCTCCACGGCCTTAACTCTCCATTTTGGAATCAGATAAAATCGTTTCTTGCACAATCCTGCTGCCACTCGGCCAAGCAGAATCTTCCGTGTGCAATCCCAGCACATTTAGGCAAAATAAAAGCTGATCTGATGGGTGGTTTTACATGGGGAAGTGTTACAGACCCAGTAGAAAGTTTTTGGGTTGATTAGACTGAAATGATGCTTCTCTTATTCTGGATCAAATTTGCAAAGTACACTTGGATTTAAATTATTTTTAAATAAAAGAAAAAATAATGAAGAGGGTCCCAAACAATAAGAAAAAGCAATTCCAGATATTCCAAATACCAAAGCCCCCAGGCACAGCTCTGAGCTGAGCCACATAAATCCTTCCTGAGGAGCTGCTCCATCACTAAAAATATTATATAAAGAAATATGGTAAAGAGGGATGGACAGGGAATGGGAGCATTAAATATATTGAATTAAGAAAATAAAGTGTTTTAATGATGGGACCAAAGGAAAATGACTTGAGGTAGGCTGGGGACAGACACAGGGGATGGAGACTTAGGGTACAGAGGTACTGGAGTGATAAATTGTGGTGTGCAGGAGAAATAAATCATCCCTAAAAGACCCCAAAATTCCAGAGTCACTGCAAAGTTGGACCGTGGCTGGTGAAGCTGATATTTATAAAATATATATAATTATATATGAAATATATAGTGTTGCTAGAAGCCCAACTCCTGCTTTCACTTTATTTTTCAAAGGCACAAACTGGCTCCTATTATGGCTTTGCCATTATGCACATATAAATAATAATGGCAACAAAAAGCAAACCCAACTAGGCAGAATTATTTCTGCAAACTCTGCACATAAGCACAGTCTTTAAACACACCTGTTGAACTGCTGGGAATTTACATGGAACATATAAAATAATAAAACATAGCACTTGTATTCTTATTTATTTAGTCTGTATGTCTTTTTTTTTTTTTTCCCTGCAAAAATATAGTTCAATCAAGCTGTGAAAAGAGAAAAAAACCCCTTGAAATTGTGACATGTGCTTATTTAGATTTTTCAAGCTGGATTTAAACAAATTCAGCACTTCACAAAGAGCAGAAGGGCAGGATGCAGCAGCTCATTCTTCTCTGCCCAGCCTGAAATTTGTTGCAGTAATCCAAAATTCTGCTCTGGGGACAACACAATGAATGAAACCCCTTGCAAGCATTTATCTTCTTCTTACCCTGGATGTACTCTTGGGGCTTTTGAATTTATTTTGAGCAAAATATTCAGTAGTTTCTGTCAAGCCCCATCACTGCTCACTTGCAGGATAAACCACGTAAGGGAAAAATTATCTTTGCCTTGTGTCATTGGAAAGATTTAAGTGCATTTAGAATATATTGAATATCTCATTGTTCCTGATCAAATCCAATCAGATTGCAAAGCCAGAGGAGAAATCCCCACAGCCCAGAGCACCAACAACACTAAACCCCCTTGGTTTACACACTTGGATGGCTTCAGGTTTTCAAATCTTCTCTCCCAAGGCTTGGGTTTACTCCCTGCTGCTTCCAGTATCATTGCAGCATCTCAGACCCAGCT